CTCACTTACCCTGCTCCTGAATCAAATAAAAATAAAATAGTAGGAAATATTTTCTAAATTAGTATTTAATATTTATTCACATAATTATACAATTTCAGTAACCAGTTATCTTTGACTTTCCCCTCAAACCTAATCTCATTCTTTTTATTAGGACTGTCATAGAGCCACCACTACCATAATGTCCCCTTAATACACTACTCAGTGTGGTTAACGTGACTAACTTACCATGCTTCCACTTTAATCACTTCAAAATCTAACTCTTCTTTATAGATGCCTTTTAAAATCTTTATAAAAATTATGGCCATGATCTCCTGTACATATTTGTCTTACCTCTTGAAAGCTTACTTCTCTCCATAACATAGTCTGTCCTGATCATGTCTGCTGAAAACATGTTCCTTACTCGCTGCTTCCTACTCTCCCTTACTGCGCGTCTCCCTCAGCCCACTTACTTTCTGTTATATCCAGCTTCCCTTGACTTCTCTATGAGCTCCTATGTCTCAGGAGCCAGAGGAATAGAATTATTTTTTCTCACTATCCCCACTAAAAATCTCATAACCAGGTCATTTCACTTCAAGCAATTACTTGACCCTACTCTTTATTAACAGTCCAATCATCTAGCTTTAATGTAAACTTTCCCTCTTTTCCCAAGTGTGTTTCCTTTCAGATTCCCAGGAAACTGCAAACAAGATCTGGGAGCCATAACCAATCTGTACTTTACCAGCAGTTCAAAGGATCTGATTTGCTCTCCACTGAATTTTGCTTTCGCAAACCTCTTCTGCTCAATATTAGCTGCACTTGTGCAAGTATACATACAATTACTGCAAAACATTGTAAAATTCCTTCAACCTACTTTTCCAAGGATAATATCAGAGAGACCAGATTTTTTAAGAAACAGTGCAGCTTCACTTGCTCCAACTCTCCCTGTGTATGTTGGATCTACCTGAAAGATAAAAATTCACATTGAACTGAAGCACGTCTGCCACAAAAGAAGAGACAGGGAATGAAATGTCTCTTGTCTCTAGGTCAAAGAGAGATATACAAGCATGTGACTACAACCCTGCAGGGAGAATTTACAGAAGTTGGAAGAAGATAAAGAGGGAAATCTTGGGGAAGTTGCACTTTATTTTTCAAATCCTTTTAGAAACCTACCTGTTTGTAGTAAGTTTCATATAACGGATTCCCAGTAGAAAGCTAAAAAAGAAGAGAGATGATGAGCAAGCCAAGAATGAATGACAGTCACCAATATCTTACATTTAGAGAATGCCAAAGCAGCACATACTATGAGACAAACCCATTCAAATGAAGCTTTGTGCATTACTTCCATCACAAATATAAAACCATGTATCATTGTGCTTGGTTCCAAATTAGGTAGTTGAAATCTAAGCGTGTAAAACATCAATCCCTGCAAAATTCTGGCCATTGGACTACTATCACCTCTTAAAATTTCTCACTCATAAGCATTCATACTTGTACTCACACTTCTAATTAGCAACACTATATGGTAATACCGTTTTGTAGACCAGCTCTGAAGTATTTGCCAAGGTCTTTCGCATCCCAGTTTAGGAACTACTGATATCAAAGGTAAAGTTTTCATCATAACACTGATTTTGACTACCTCATACTTTGTATATATACACTTAGGGAATATTTTCAGCAATTGTATACACTCACACAGAGCACCCTGGAATCAAAATCTGCCCGCATTTGTGTGTTTTCACAACTGGGATTTTAAAGCGAAACAGAGCGTAAAAAAATAGAATGAATTAATTAGCAAATATCACAATTCCTTGGCAAGGTTATTTGCAGATTTCAACTTGGTGTCATCATTGCATTACACAAAAGTAGCAGAGTCAAAGGTAGGCCCTGCCTTTTCAGTATACTAATCAAGCAGACTCTCCTTCCTTCTTGCTGACGTTCCAAGCAAATGGAAACTGAGATACCTAGAGCCAAAAGCCCCCAAACCCATCTTCTTACTTGCCTCCTGTGATTGTCACACAAGTTCTAGTTATGCAAAGGTCGTATTTTCAATCTATTCCTCAGCCTCAACACCAACAGCAAAAACACCACAATCCAAACACTGTCTCGCTCAGATCAGCCCCTTACAAAAAGGCCTTAAAAATACAAACAACAAAAAAAAATCCCAGAAACATAATCTAATCACTGAGGTGCCCAGAGATGTCAAAACATTCCAGAGCCTGCCAGGACATCTGCTTTCCATCTGTGAGACATCAGTGTGACACCTGATGACTATTTCATGCTACCTCTGATCATTGCTATGCCACCTCCCAAACGCTACCTTCCTCCTTATCATCCACACGGATTTCTGGATGTTCTGTCTACACCAAAGGGGAACGGGGATGGAAATCTGATGAAAGAAAATGAAGACTGATCCAGAGCATGAAACTATTTTACACGTGTCCAGTAAGTTTCCAAAAAACATGCCAAATCCTAATTTAAGGAGCTATCCAAACTAACTAACCCTTATTAATCAAAAGCAAGGGAACACCGAGCCCTTCAAAGATCATTTATTCTGCTTGGCCAAAAAGATCCTGCATTTTCAGAAGAGCAGCCTGAATGTACTCTACTCATATCCACCAACAAAACAAGCCACTGCATTCTCCAAAATCAGTACACTCATCACTTTTCTAGAAGCCGGCTGGACAGGAGTTTGCAAGAAGAAAGCTGTGACCATGTCATAAGCCTGACTCATCTTCTTGCTAGCTTGTAAAAGATCATAGATAAGCACTATGTTCTTGTCCAAAGCAGGAAGCACATCATTCAGAGAAAAGGAGGAAGTAGGAAATAGTCCAGCCAACTCGGAATAAAATCTACTCTGAAAGTTTATGTTTTAGCCAACTATCACCCAACCATATACCTTTCATTTCTCAGAAAGCTCAGAGAAGCTAGCCAAAGACCAAGCTCCTCTAACTAATTTGGCCAGTAGCCTAGAGCCTGCAAGGTCTGGATTCATACCAAGACAGAGCAAACTGCTCTAGCAGCGGCGATGAATGACCTCATCCTATCAGCAGACATTTTTCTCATCCTCATTTGATATTGTCAGCCACAACATACAGCTGACTTACCTGACAAAGGTGGCAAGAATCCAGGGCGATGTGCTTAAATGCTGTGAAGCTTCCACTACAGCTATACGTTCATCCAAGCGGTGTTGGAAAGCAACATCTTCACCACTGGACTCTACTTGCAGAATTGAGCAAAGATTAAGCCTCTCTGACCAATTTACCTAACTAACTGCATCTCTCTGATGAAGCAGACCAAACAGTATGGGCTGCAGTGATAAAAATAACATAGCTGCCCATCTACTCTTCACCACATGCAATCCCATCACTATCAGTGAAGATGGTTCTGTAATTCGACAACACTTGCCGATGCGGAACTTGTAAAAGACAGCGTCAATGCTGGCAACCAAGGAAGAGCATTTGGAAGAGCCTGCAGATGAAGAGTAGCTCAATAATACTCTGGATTCTATGCCAACTCTATGTTGCCAAATAATGTCATCTATGACCGGTGCTTCACACCCTCTCTCAGACAGCCACTTCACAACCCTGGTGCCCTGTCTTTTGAGCTCTTACACCGATTTCCTGTAGAAATTTGAATGAAGACCAAGTCTCAGTATTTGCACTGTCACAGCAAACCTAGTGTACTGGATTTGTTCAACACATGCTACACAGTACATATGTATGTGTGTGCCTCCGTGTCCCCTAGCACAGGCGTGACGAAAGGCAAGAGTAAGCTGCTGCCACCAGAACAATTAATAAAGTCAGTTCTCAGCAGCAGTCTTTCCTGAGGTCAACTCAAGTCCATACAGGACTTTGGACGGGAGGAATTATTCTGACATTTTCCTTGCTGTTCTTATGTTTCATAACTTTCCTTTGGCCGCTCTTGTCATATCAAATCGTGGATGTGAGCAGGCACTGCAAAAGGGGAAGAATCAAGGTGTCCCATGAAGATGACAGCCAGAAGAAGGTCACTGCTGCCCCAGAAAGATTCACTTGCCCTTACACTACTTGCCGAGTGTTCCTGAGATGCCTCAGGAGAGCTACAAAATGATCTGCACTGTCCGAATATCTCTAATATAACTCCCCATAACCTCCAGAGGCTGTAGGGTGAACACGCCTGGCACAAAGGAAAGACTACTGATAAGGTGCTCAAATATGCAAGAAAATAAAGTTATCAAAGGTAAATCAACCCTGGCTTCTGCTGTTAAATAACACCAAGAATTGATTTTACATGCTTGCTCTTAAACTCTTTTCATGCATGGCTAGCTTAAACAGAGCACGCGGGGATGTGTTGAATATTTTGCATATTGTGAGTTAGACATCTCAATTCCCATTTGTAAAAACATAAGTTTATTGAATAGGCAGAACATTACAATAAAATACATTTATTGGGAAGAAATATGATTATATATGTTTATTTTAAACACTCACATGCTTGAACTAAGTATATTGTTCATAGATCTTAATATATTGATAGGAATATTCTTATTTTATATACTCTGAGTGAATGTACTTTAACATTATAGTACGTTTAGCCTTTCCTATTCCTTTTAATACCACTTCTGGCCTTTTTTTATAACAGATATCTTTGTAGTAAACATGAAATGAAAGGGGAAGTTTGCTAACTTCCAGTGAAATTCCACTTACTGCCCTGGCCATAATTAGGTTACTCCTGGCAATTCAATACAGGAAAAAATATTTCTCTTGAAAACTAGAATGCTTCCAGTGAATTAACTGGAAAAAATATGTCAAAATAACAAATATATCCACAGGAAAAAGTCCTTTTTTCTTAAGGTATCTGCTGCGTTATATAAGAGAAAATACGATTGTTGCCACAGTTCCTCAAATATCAGTTAAAATTCGCACCACACAGAAGCATGATTTCTAGTACGGTAAGTTTTTGAGACCTACCACAAGGGATACATTTTTGCCAGCCTACTGGGAGACTGCATGCAAACTTTTGCAGAAGTTCTACAACAATAAAGCCTTTCAAGTCCAAGGTTTATTTTACATATACACTTTGCACCACATTACTTAACTTGAAAACGTTCGGTAACGGTATGTATGTCTGTGGATGTTTTCAGATGTTTTGAATATCTGTTTAAATAGATAAGTGTGTCCAGTGAAGGCACTTACTGCTATCCAAAAGCTAAAAAGCAGCACTCTCTCTTAGTAAGAGACGCAGCAAATTATGTATTACCCAAGCATGATATAACTCCACAGAAAGGTAACTTTTCAGAGCGTCACAAATGAAAAAAACCATTACTAAAAGGAAAGGGATGCATTTAAATAACCTGGATTATCAGTAGCAGTTGTTCCGAGTTTCTGACCGGCCTAGCAACAGCGGAGAAAACAGTTTTAGTTTCAAGGCATTGGTTTAAATTTCTTACAGGAAATAAGTAAACTGGACATCTTCACGGCGCTACGGAGAAGAACGAGCAGTAATCACCCCGCGCAGGCTGAAATTATTTGGGTGAGGGAATACTGAAAATACTTAAAACAACAGAAAAGCTCATCTACGCCAGCAGCGGTAGCGCTGGACGCGGCCTCTCGCCGGAGGGGCACAAGAGGGCAGCGCCAAGGGCCGGGGGCCGCAGTGCCCCCCTCCTGCCGAGGGGGCCGAAAACCTCCTTTTCCTTCCTTCCCTGCCGCAGCCG